CACGATGACCGAAATTTTGTGTCCACTTCTTACGCCTGATGCGATTGTTTTCTTAAAAAAACTCATGACTTCAGGGCCAGACATGCCAGTCAGGAGACAGAAGAGCTCCTTCACAAGACGAATGGTCGTCAACGAAAATACCTCTGCTTTTTTATTTTTGCTTTGAAAGCAAAAAGGTGGAGCAAAGCCATGAGATATTCTGACGACACGTGATATAACATCAAAGAATTCCCGTGGAATAAAACGGTGAATCTCTGCAAAAAACGGTCTTCGAAGGGATCTACGGCCATTGAGACGACGATGGATGCCTTCCAGCCATAGCTTTGCTTCATTTTGGATCAGTGATCCAGCATGAATTTGCCTGTTCAGCACAGATCGGGCGCTCGTATCGTTTGCACTGAACTCCCACAAAATGACCAGTTCTCCCACAGCAGATTCCATAAATCGTTCCTTCCTTTCCGTATCTGGAACTGAAAGTCCAGCAAGACATCGCCTCAGTTTTTCGGATATGCCTTCCTGGGCTTTCAGTTTCTCATCTACTCTATCACTATCATTACTACTATCTAACAATTCCGCCATAACCTCTTCCTGATTCAAAAACACCGCCATTTTGTAAATTCGAATAGATTAAAGCGCGCGACCGCTGAACATAAGAAACGGCGAACATTGTCGATTTCGATTGCGTTTTTGACCACCAGAACTGTCTACTATTAATAATAGTAAAGCAATTATTATTATTTTTTGCTAAATTTAGCGAACAGTAATACCTTCCAGTATAGTTTGATTACTGAACTATAAAGCTGCAATGTGGAAACTGTCACTCATAGGTTAATAACACTCACACAAAAACCAGAAAATAAGTATGTGTTTATGCGGTTCACCTATAGCACTATGTATTTACTTTGACAGCGCGAGGTGTTTGTTTGCAGCTTCGATCACGATCACAATGTACATGTTTTGCGCTGTGTATAAAGTTTTAACTTATATGTATATATTATAATATATAGCCATTTACAAAAATTATGGCCGTTTCAAATATACATACATGTTTATCAAGAAACTCAATGGCGGTTTACTTATCTCCTGCATGTAGCTAGTTCAGAGGTATCCCTGCACGATATATGTTTCTTACTGCACTATTTATTTTGCTAACCTAGTATGCGAATTGTAGTTGATATATTTTCTAATTGTAATTGTAATTGTAATTTCTTTTTTGTTTTGTTGTTTTTTTCTTCAAAAGTACTAATCCAACTATAATTTGTTATATAAATTTCTAATATATTGTAGTTTTCTTTTATTTTGCTCTTTTATTTATTTATTTATTTATTCTTCTAAATTGTCTACGGTTTCTCGATCTCTTCTTTCTTTTTATCTAGTTTATTTCCCTCCCATTTTATACCTTTTCTCCTTTTCTATCTCTTTTTTATATCCTTTCATAGATTGGCTCATTATTTTCTTGACTTGTTAGGCCTTGAATTTCAGCATATTTTGTGTCTTTGTATTCCGGTGGGAAAACAATGTTTGGTAGTTCTTCAATCACTTTGAAATCATACAGTTCAGTATAAATAATTTGCCCGGGACGCTAGAGATACACATGGACAAAAAATGATGACTAATTAAAATGAATATTAAAGATAGACTGTATTCATTGGTCAAATACTTAGAGTGAGTGATATATTATTATATTCAATTCCAGCAAAATCCAATTCATATCAGTAACTTATAATCCATTCCATTCACATCTAATCACTCTCAGACACGTGCAATCCATCCCAGTCACATCCAATCTATCTCAGTCACATCCAATCCATCCCAGTCACATTCAATCCATCCCAGACACATCCAATCCATCTCAGTCACATCCAATCCATGCCAGTCACATCCAATCCATCCCAGACACATTCAATCCATCACTGTCACATTCAATCCATCTCAGTCACATTCAATCCATATCAGACACATCCAATCCATCCCAGTCACATTCAATCCATCCTAGTCCCATGAAACCCATTCCAGTCACATCCAATCCATCCCAGTCCCATCAAATCCAATCCAATAACATCCAATCCATCCCAGTCACATCCAATCCATCTCAGTCACATCCAATCCATCCCAGTCCCATGAAACCCATCCCAGTCACATTCAATCCATCCCAGTCCCATGAAACCCATTCCAGTCACATCTAATCCATCCCAGTCCCATCAAATCCAATCCAATAACATCCATACTATCCCAGTCACATTCAATCCATCTCAGTCACATCTAATCCATCCCAGACACATCCAATCCATCTCAGTCACATCCAATCCATCCCAGTCCCATGAAACCCATTCCAGTCACATGTAATTCATCCCAGTCACATCCAATCCATCCCAGTCACATCCAATCCATCCCAGACACATCCAATCCATCCCAGTCACATTCAATCCACCCCAGTCCCATGAAAGCCAATCCAGTCACATCTAATCCATCCCAGTCCCATCCAATCCATCTCAGTCACATCCAATCTATCCCAGTCACATCCAATCCATCTCAGTCACATTCAACTCATTTCAGTCACATCCAATCCATCTCAGTCAAATCCAATCCGTCACAGTCACATTCAATCCATCTCAGTCACATTCAACTCATTTCAGTCACATCCAATCCTTCCCAGTCACATCCAATCCATCCCAGTCACATTCAATCCATCTCAGTCCCATGAAACCCATTCCAGTCACATCCAATCCATCCCAGTCCTATCCAATCCATTTCAGTCGCATCCAAGGAAACATCCAGTCCATGTTCATCATATATGCATGTCATCTCAGTCACATGAATTTCATTTCAGTCATGATGACATACAATCAATTAAAGGTTCATTAATTTCCACAAGCATTTGATAATCTTACGCGTTTTTGATATACCT